AGAAGAGGCCTGAAAGGAACATCTGAAGAACTCAAAGACTAGAAGATGACTTGAAAAGGCTAAAAGACCCAGGGAAGAACTCAAAAATTCATCTGTGACTTTAGAGGTGTACTCATAGTAAATTAACAAGATTAAGATGACTGGAAGGGAGATATAAAAAAGGCATTACGTTACTTGGGTATTGGATTGCTTGGAAACTGGAAATGACACAAAAGGTAAAAGACAACTTTGAAAGAGACTTTTGGGGGGACTAACGATAGAAAAGAGGCTGAATAGAGAACAAACAACTGAAAGAGTGGGAAAATGGTCCAGAACTAGCAATCACTGAGAACTGGGAAACTTGGAGAAGGCTTTATTGACTTTTAAGACCACTAAGGATTAAAGACTCATTTTACCATAGGATAACATCAGATAGATTCAAGAACTTACAAGGATTTTGGATTCCTTGAATTGAAGGCCTGGGAGAATGATTTGTGGATGATTTGGAAAGAGATCTGAACCTGGAGGTTGGGGGTGAGGGTGATCTGCAGATGTCTAAGAGAACTTAAAGACTGAATTATGTGAATGTGAAGAGTAACTGAAAGTCTTAAAGAAGACAGATCATGACTGCAGGACTTGAAAAAAGATTTTTGAGGATTTTGAGGAGGCCTGTAGAGGATTGGAGGAGTGGGAGCCCTGAATTGTTTTGTAGAGACTGGGTGGCCTCACGCATACACACTGAGTGGAAACACATTAGGAAGACAAATGGCTGCAGTCAGACAGATGTTTATCCAGCAGGCTATTTAAAGAGAAGCGATTGTGGAAAAAGATAAAGATGGTGGGTGAGAGGAAATGAGAGATCAAGGCTGAGAAAAAGGAAAACATGGATAAGGAAGGGCATTAATGATTTGTTTCGCTATTTAAATCTTTTTATGCATTTCATTGATCATTCTGTTTAATTTTATGGGGCAGTACAGTGGCCCAGTGCTTGTCACTGTTGTTTTACATCAAGAACGTCCTCCATCCAAATCTAATGTCCAGGTACTCCGGCTTCTGTCCACAGTCCAAATGTAGTTAGTGGGTTGGGTTAATTTGGTCGTGGCCCATATGTGTGAATGGTTGTCTTTCCATTCACACTCACAGACTGGCATCCTGTCCAGGGTATACTCTGTCTCCTGCCTGTGGTAGCTGGGATAGGATCCAGTCTCTTTGCAACACTTAATTGGATAAAGAGAGGAAGATTGATGAATGTTTAATTTACATTTTTTTAAGTAAAATGCTAGATTAAAGCAAACTTTAGAATATATGATTTTGTTCATGTTTACATTTATTTGAAAGGGACAATGTTCATTAATTAATGTAAACATGCCAGTTTTACAGGTCAGCCTGATTGGAAATTATTGAAAAAAGTTAATGAATATTTAATTTAGTGAATTATTGGTAACATTTTCAATCATCAAGCATCTTAAACCATCATAAAATTATGCACAAATGAAAAAAAAACAACCTCATTAATACTTTATCAAAATCTGTTTTGAGTTTGTTCACAAATACCAGAAAATATTAGCAAAATATTAGTGTCCAAAACTGATATTACATTTTTTTAAACTAAAATGTCAGAATTAAACATCAGCAAATGTAAAATAAAAATAAATATAAAAAAATAAAAAGAAGAAGACGAAATATATTAATGGAATCATTGCAACATATCAAATGTCAGAATAAAGTATTAGGAAATACAAAAAAAAAAAAATGCAAATATTACAATAAAATAGTTTAAAAAGTCTAAATGATTCCTACAAAATATGCATTAAAATGTATGAAAATACAGGTATGGTAAGGTATACAGGTAAATAAGGTATGAAACTTTCCAAAAACAAGTTTTTGGTAAACTGGGTGGTTCAAGATCAGCTATGTCTAAATTCAATAAGCTCCCTTCTCTAAATATTTACGCGCTGCATTTTCTCAGCAGTAGATGGAGTCGTGAACTTACAGGTTACACAACATTACTACCAGTGTTGGGAAGGTTACTTTTAAAATGTATTCCATTACAGAATACAGAATACATGCCCCAAAATGTATTCTGTAACGTATTCCGTTACGTTACTCAATGACAGTAACGTATTCTGAATACTTTGGATTACTTAATATATTATCATGCTTTTTACAACAACGTGAATGTACTATTGCTGTGTGATTTATTACTATTACTGAAGGTCCGTGACTCCGAACTGTAGTAAAGGGACCTCTGACTAATACAGCGGGGTCCCTGTCGGCTCGTAGCCGAAAAATAGCTTTACTTTGTTGTGTGGGTCAACTTTGCTAGCAGAGACAGAGAGAGGCGTTGAAAGGCTGCTCCAACAGAACTTATTGTTTTCGGAGGAAAACACGAACACAGTGTACAGTCGAGTCTTAATAGCTTACTTACAACTGGGCTCGTCAGGCACTCTTCTTGGCTGAATTGGTTATTATTATATTTACATGCTTCCAGCTCCCGTTTTTCCTCGATGACAACTCGTACCTTTCCACTCCCCTTTTTCTCCCTCCTCGCGCTCACAGACCCATAACGTGTATGGCAGTCCATTCTCCCTGTAACACGAACTACACTGCCCATGATGCTACATTCTTTAGAGCTATGCTTGTAGCATTCTGCCTGTTAGCTTAGCACAACAATAACAACAACAACAACAACAACAAAAAGGCACTCTCTCACCCAGGAAACACACAGTTGCAGAGAGAGAGAGAGCGTCGCCCTGTAACCATGGCAACCGTAACGCTGCCGCCTGGAACAACAGAACGTAGCTGTCAAACAAAACCCAAACAGTCCTGACCCACGACAAAATGAAACAGGAAAGTACCGCAGTGTAATCCATTTATTTCAACAAAGTAACTGTATTCTGAATACCACCTTTTTAAACGGTAACTGTAACAGAATACAGTTACTCATATTTTGTATTTTAAATACGTAACGGCGGTACATGTATTCCGTTACTCCCCAACACTGATTACTACTGAGTGATATAACTGTGTGATTTGTTATATCAGCCACAGCGATGCTGGCAGCTAACATTAAGTCCAGCTAAAGATGCCAGAAAATCATATTTATCTCCAGTCAGGAAGTCACTGCCTCTGGAAACCTTTATCTTGTTTTCTACATTTGTAGAATTTAAACTTTTCCCATTCAAATGTCATTATTTAAAATTTTAAAAAACATAACAATATAATTTAAAAATTCAGCTAAGTGTAAAAATGCCTTAAGAGTCAGAAGCAAATCACCCATTATAATCAGTTTGAGACTACAAGTAGTATCAGTGGTGGATATTATTCAATTCAGTTCAATTCAGTTTTATTTATATAGTGCCAAATCACAACAGCAGTCACCTCAAGGCGACTACTTGGCAAAAGTCTTGAACCACTGCTTCTTTCTTTATCTTTTGCTTCCAATGAACCAGGCACTCTTATAGTTTTTCAAAGTGATCTTCAGCAGTCGTTCTCCACACTTTCTGAAGATCTTTTAAAATATTTCTTTGGACATTGGCAGATTTTTCACTTGTTTTCAGTCCAGTCCTTGTACCTGACCACTTTCAGAGGAATATTTGTTTCTGTGTGTTTGTTTGTTTGTTTGTTTGTTTGTTTGTTTGTTTGTTTGTTTGTTTGTTTAACCAGTTAACAATGACCAACAAGACATTCAGGCAAAACAGGCACTTAACTAAAGATATCAACCAGTGTTGATTTACAGATGCCTAAAGACGCCTACAATTTTAAATGTATCTTTAGGCACTTTGTTACTGCAGATTACCACAAACGCACATAATTTCTTCAATTAAAAAAAACAACAATGATAACACAGCTTAACAGACATAATATTGTGTTTTTCCACAAAAAACTCTTAGCCAGAAACATGCCATATCATCCACCCATCAGCAAGGAAACACCTGCCACAATTCCACGTGAGAGTGAGAGAGAAAGAAAGAGAGAAACTACAGAAAGAAAAGGCAAAGAGGAGAGGCATGCCATGACTACTTCCATGTATGTTTGAACACGTTTAAATAGCCGCTCCATAGTGTAGTGGTTTACACATTTGCCTAACAAGCAAAAAAAATACACAAATTCCTTTGGGGTTGTGTGAGATAGAGCATTTCCTGTAAACATTCCACAAAAAAGCATGTGGAGCTATCTGCTGTGAGCTCTTGTGAATATGATTAATAGAGTGGCTAAAAATGGCATTATTTTTTTCCTGCACATGTCTCAATAAAACCCTGCACCTATTTTCCATTTTGCTAACAAAATACAAAAAAATTCTTCATTCAGTATATATGAATATCTGATATTTTAATAATTCTATTTATAATTTTTGTGTTTTATATTGGTCTAATAGTAGCTCTGTTGTTGTTGTCGAGATAGTTTACTTACTAAATAGTAAATACTTTTTTTTATTTAAATACTTTAAAAAAAAGTTTTAAAATCTAAATTGTCCATAGGTGTGAATGCAGGAGTGAATGTGAGTGCGAATGGTTGTCTGTCCCTGTGTGTTAGCCCTGCGACAGACTGGCGACCTGCCCAGGGCGTACCCTGCCTCTCGCCCTATGACAGCTGGGATAGGCTCCAGAGCCCCCCCCCGCGACCCTGAAAAGGATAAGCGGAAGTGAATGGATGGATGGATGCTTTATATATCAATGGACACTTTTATTATATTTTTATTGTTTATTATTGATAAAAAATAATATATTTTTTAATATCTTCAGTATATTTATATATATAGACTTTTTTTTAGATATTGTAATAATATATACAGTCAATCAATTCAATGTGCAACTACCAGAGGTAAAACTCATTATCTGGATGCAGTATTTTTACTGTCAGGTATCAATATACCTGAGAAACAAAAAACATCTGAGTACCAAATTAAAAGCCTCCACATTAACCGCGCACCTGAGAGTCTGAAATCAGGGGAAAAGCCGCCCGGTCGAGCTACCTTGCAGACACGCGAGAGCGCGCCTAGTTGATAGAGAGCACCAGCCTTCACACAGCAAACCGACACAGTTCCAACAGCCCTCACCTAACCACGTGCCTCCGCTTAGAGCTTCTCCTTTACGTAGTTTTTGCGCGCGCAGTTTCCGGCTGTGAGAAGCGTCAGGTGAAGCGGAAGTGAAGTGAAGAGGCTTGTACTGCTTACCTGTCGTCAGTCAAACTGACAGAGAAGAAACAAGGGAAAAAAAGTAAGTTAAAGATAAAAAAGTAATTTAAGTACACAAGGAGTTGTTTTATGTGTGTGCCTGCTGTTTCCGGTCTGTTCTACCTGTCTGCTCTACACCTACAGGGTTAGGTTTAGTAAAAGAAGACCAGTTTTACCAGGAAACGTTCTTACAGTTTAATGTTTACTCCCTTATAAACGGCAGTTTTAGTTTTTCTGGCTCCCAAACTGAAGAGTAGGACCCCCCAGAGGGTCACGGGCAGAGGGATATGTGGTTAGGGGAATAAATATTTGTTTATTAAAATGTGTACACAAAAAAAACATACTTTACCAAGACATCTGACAGTTTGTTTGGGGGGGGGGGTTTTAAAGACATATATATATATATATATATATATATATATATAAATTAAACTTACATGCTGCCTATTTTGGCCTTGGCCATAGGGTTAGGTTGGGTTGGGTTGGGTAGGGTTGCTCATGTTGTGGAGAATCTGTGACATCTAATTAGTGTTAATGGGCTATTGTTAGCTGTTAATCAGCTGTGAGTGACTGCTTCTCTGTGCTGCTGGGTTTGTTATGTTACGACTGAAATTAATAAGATTAATTATACTAGTTTATTGCCATTGGGCCTCGTCATATGTGACCAGAATCTTATGAAAAATAATCAGCACTTCGTTGTGGAGTTAACAGAAGCAAGAAATCTGCGCTAATTTCCAGCAAAAGCTCCTCATTTACATCTAAAACCTCTTTAAAGACAACCCGGCTCCTAAATAACTAAAACCTAAAGGACTTCTGCCAAAAATCTGACTGTTCTTATTAATGACTAACTAACCAAGACAAGTTAATCCTGTCTGATGACTATAGCATGGATCAAAACCATAAACCACTAGAAACTACTAAGAGGAACTCCATCATCAAGAACAGCCAGAGAACTGACCAAACCAAGAAACATTCCCAGCTTGACCATCATAACTGTGTTTTACTATCCTACATCAAACCATCGTGTTCACATTAAGCTATTTACCTTGTTGTTGTGAGCAGTTGTGATGTCATGCTCCTTGTATACCTACGCCCACTTGTGGTAACTGTAGCCTCTCTCATTGTATTAATCAAGCTAATCCACATACCTATCTCACTAGATAGGTTTGTGGATAAATGTTGCAATGTTGCAATGACCATTATAAATAACACCAAAATTAAACTTAATTACAAAGCTGTTGTTTTGCTATTTTTTTTTTTTGTCAAGTATATCAAAAGTAATGCAGAACCTATTAAAATATGATAAATTTATATATAACACGATCTAGTTCATGACACACATGGTGGAATTTAAGCTTCCTGTAAGCCATATACTAATCCAAGGTCTCAGAATTTTATGTTGGACTTCAGCTACATTTTCAAAATGCCATATTCCTGAGGTCATAGTAATAAATATTTTGATTAAAAATTTGAATGACATAGGTTAAATAGTTCTCTAGATATAGCTATTTAAAAAATAGCTCAATTGAAAGGCTTGAAAAGACTTGAAATTACCTCTTCAACGTTTTTATGAGCAAATCACAGGGAAATCACAGATCATCAGTTGACATGCAGTGACTTTGGAACCCTCCCTAGTGACCTATTTAGACATCTCTTTAACAAACTGTACCATCTTAAAGTCCAAAGGAACATTGTTGCAGGCATAAGGAACACCCATAGCCAACCAAAAAACCAATTAAAATCCTGTATAACCGCTCCAAAGATGAGTCAAACTTCTATGTAGATGATCACAGTCTAATTACCAGAACTTCTGACCAACAACTAGAACATAAAGGAATGTTTCAACCTCCTTAGACACTAATTAAACTTGCATGATTGACTAGAATTGTCTAAAAAGAGCAATAGAACTTCCATACACAGGTAGATTCTGTCTGAAAGATGGCTATAACTAACACCACCTCAGTGCTAGCCCTGTGGAGTCTAACTGAAGCCACTGGATTCACGTTCAGAATGGAGGATTGGGTGGTTTCTCGGAGTCAGTGTTTTCTCCATCAGTGCTGCAGGCTGTGATGGAGTCTAGGCGATGCTGCAGGAGCACTTGGCCATGTTGGCGTGTTGTTGGTCAGCGGCACGTTTGGATGTGCTGTTCAGGCTGTGTCATGTGTCAGGAATTTGCTGCTGCAGCAGGAGTGCATTTTAGCATGTCGGCAGACTGGTCACAGCTCTCTGACTCTCACTGCAGAGATTTCCTGGAAAGTCTTATGACATGTGACCTGAAGAAGAGTCATCTAATCTTAAAAATCAAATACAGAGAAAATGGGAAGAAAATTAATCTCTTACTGTTTTCAAAAGCAGAAATACAAATTCATTTTCTGGTATTAACTTTAAAAAATATATTTTTTAAATGTGAACACTGAGCTGCTGTTTTCAAATAAGAGTTCAAAGAATCCCCATGACTTGGTAGAGAATAAAACACGATCATAATGATATATATGTGTGAATGATTCATTTAATTCTTTCTGGAAAAGAATGAAAAGGTCCTGCACCTGCAGACTTATGTGTCATATGTGTTATCATCTACAGGTTTAGACATCCATCAATTAATATTATGATAAATCATTAGGTGTGTGTGTGTGTGTGTGTGTGTGTGTGTGTGTGTGTGTGTGTGTGTGTGTGTGTGTGTGTGTGTGTGTGTGTGTGTGTGTGTGTGTGTGTGTGTGTGTGTTATACTATATGTGAGAAAGAGATTCTATTTTCAGATATTTTGTTATATTTGTTTTCTCTGAGATAATCAAAACATTTTTGACTTTTTATTAATGTATTTAATATTTTAATTATATTTTATTTCATACTTAATATATTTTAGACTTTAATGTTTTAAGAGTAATAAGTTTTAAGACTTGTTTTAAATCTCTTTAAATACTAGAAAAAATTATTAATATTGTTTTTATTTAAATCTCTTTATATTTCAGATATGTTCTCTTTTTTTTGTCTGTGAACAAATTTAGTAGTTTAAAATTTATATATTTAAATAATAGACTTAATTTTGATATTGTGAAAATCACATTTTATAAATGTTACACAAGGGGCAGCACGGTGGCACGGTGGTTAGCACTGTTGCCGCACAGCAAGAAGGTCCTGAGTTCAATTCCACCATCAGGCCGGGGTCTTTCTGTGTGGAGTTTGCATGTTCTCCCCGTGTTTGCGTGGGTTCTCTCCGGGTACTCCGGCTTCCTCCCACCGTCCAAAGACATGCAGCTTGTGGGGATAGGTTAATTGGATAATCCAAATTGTCACTAGGTGTGAATGTGCGAGTGAATGTGAGTGTGAATGGTTGTCTGTCCCTATGTGTTAGCCCTGCGACAGACTGGCGACCTGTCCAGGGTGTACCCCGCCTTTCGCCCTATGACAGCTGGGATAGGCTCCAGCGCCCCCCGTGACCCTGAAAAGGATAAGCGGATGGATGGATGGATACACACAAATGTAAAAATTAGAGGGTTTAACTACACAAATATTTATGTTCTAAAAAATTTGTTTGTATTGGCAAAAGTTTCTAAAAAACAAAATTTGCTTTTACCACTGCAGTTACAGAAGTTTTGTCTGTTTTCTATTTTAAGGTAAATAAATCCAAATATAGAAAGTAGGGGCAAGAAAATATTCAGTGCATTAATTGGGTAGTCCTCCTTAATGGAAATTTATTTGGATATGCACATAAGTGTTGCTGACATTACACTAATGGATTAGTTATTGGCCAGGAAGCTGCGTAAAAAGGGAATTCCTTTTATGTCACAGAAAAGCTCATATCTGTCCTTATTTCTTCTTGTTCTGGACTGAATGTTCCTCTTCAGCTCGTTTCAGCCGTGAGCAAAATGATTGTTTTTTTTTCTAATAAGTAAACATGTCCCTTAAAATAACGTGCCAGTTATCAGCATAAATGAGCTTTTGAGCCTCACAGTGAAAGCGTAATGGGAAGTTTGTTTGCTGCAGATGGAGATAAGATAAGATCAATTAAAGTGAACAGTGAGCTCATTGATGAATGTTACTCTTCGGTTTGTTGCCAGGATGATAACTTTTCAAGCTGTTGAGGAAGGTAGGGTGGAAGGGGGCAGCTTTGAATGAGCTGCTGATGCCTTTAATGAGCCATGTAATTTGGGTGTTTGCAGTGAGTAACCCAATCCCATCCAACCTGAAGTCTGAGGCCAAGAAAGCTGCCAAGATCCTGAGAGACTTCACCGAGATCTCCAGCAGAAATGGGCCAGACAAACTCATCCCCGGTAACAACCTGTCATATTGTCAGCTTTATATACTGAGGGCTAGTCCAGTGCTCTTTAAATACTTGGGTTTTCTAATATATCTTAAAATGTGAAGTATTTTACTGTAGTGTAGCTAAAAGTGTGTACTCTACCATATTTTTGTTGTAGCTCACGTAATAGCTAAGGCTGAGGGTCTGGCCATCATCTCTGTCATCAAGGCAGGCTTCATGATCACAGCCAGAGGAGGCAGCGGAGTAGTAATCGCCAGGCTTCCTGACAAACGTAAGATCACCACTCCTTCCATGCTCTGTAAAGGTTTGGAATTTTGCACAGGCAACTGTCGGTGTGTTTCAAAAAATATAAACTTTAATTAAGAAGACTGCTCAGGTAAGTCACCAGATGCCAAAATATGTGGAGACTTATGTTGTCTTTCTTTTTTTCATCTGTCAGATAGAACAAAGCCGTGCTCGATCAAGCCACAATTGTTTTGCTCCTTCCAACCAGCACTTCAGCCTCATTGACAAATAAAATGATTCACTCACAAGCATCAAACTCCAGTCCTGAGAAATTAACTATTCCAGAAAAAAAAATTAAATGCTATTGAGGCATCAGCAGTACTAGCATGGTGTTCCGCAAAGCACGATTCTGAGTCCTCTATTGTTTGTTTTTACTTGTGGATATAACAGTTTGTTTTTCTACACAAAATAAATATGGTTTTGCAAGCTTGTATTTGTCTGAAGGATATAAGCACCAAAAGTCTGGAGAAATTGAAGACATTTTACAACAGAATTTAACATTTTTACAGCTTGCTTCAAAAAGTAGATTTGGTTTTTATAGCTAATTCCCCCCTTTATACAATTTTAGTGCTGTGAATTATAAAATCACCAGTTTAAATTGTATAAAGGCTTAAAGTTCGCATTTTATGCCATTATGTTCTTTGAAAGATTGATAGTGGCACAGTGGCTGTAGCTACTAGCTGTCTGCTAGGCTTCATGTTAGCTAATTGGAGTCCAATTAAACCCTGGTCTATGTTTGTACTGTTGGCACCTTTTGGGGGCATTTCGAATCCAAATATCTGAGGAAAATTACTTGCTGAGCAGTACTACGAGGACAGTCCAAGAACTCTGTGCTAAAACTGTAGTGGAATTCTTGGAATTTATATGCTCTTATCTCTTAGCATGTGTCTGTGTGATGTAACAGTTGTACAAAGCAACTGAACTTCAAAAAAAAGATTGTAATCGATTGTAGATGGCATTTTGACAGTAGTATACTTTTGTTACCCTTCCAAGTAAAGTCTTTGTATGTTTGTAGAAACATGTTGCTTCTGGAATTTATCTGCATGATTGATCTGAGTGACTGAATTATTATTCCTCTGTTATTTGATTGTCACAAAGTATAAGATGAGTACACTTTTTTTTTTTTATGTGTTCTAGAAAGTCTGTACTCTTTATTAGTAAGGTAAAGAGAGTTCAACAGCAGAGGTGTCATGTTGGAGGAGGAAATAATAGCTGTTTTTTAATCATGGATTTAGCCGCAGTCTACGAAGCAATTCTTGTGATTTGCTGCCGTTTGTCTGTTGTCCTGTTTTTTCTTCTTATTTGGTTCAGTTTTTGCTGTTTTTGATCTTCCTGAGTCTCTCAATAATCCTTTTGTTGTTTTGTTTTGTCTTGTGACATTTTGGGCTCCTGCGGTTAAAAACCAGGCCTCCCTGCAGTGTTGGGAGTGTGCTGTAGTCATCTGACACGTCAAGCGTTTGATGTCAGTGAACTGGTCCGGCGGTGGCGGATGTTTGAGTTTGCCGTGGTGCCAGAACCCACCGAGGGTCACACGGGCCTTACTGAGTGGTGCCACCACCCCTGCTCTTCTTCTTCAGGCTCTTTTGTTGGTTTTCTGGATTTTCACATTAAAGGAGCAGTTCACCACATCTGAAAACACTGGCACCAGCAGTGTGAATAATCCATCCTGGCTTCAGCCATAAATATTGTGTTTTTGTGTCTGCAGGCTGGTCAGCACCTTCAGCTATTGGCATCGCTGGTCTGGGTGGAGGCTTCGAAATCGGGGTGGAGGTATAATCCCAAATCTTATAATTTTATTTATTTGATTTCTGATTTGCGTTCCAAGACGAAACATTTGTATTTGTGTTGAATTTAGGGGTTCACAATAATTGCCATAAATGTATCAATAGTGTTTTTAAAGGTTGCGAATGCAGCGGTTTGCATCACTGAGATGTCAATTTGTCCTTTAATGCACCACATCCCTTTTTGGAAAGCAGAAGTAAAAGCTAATTTTCTGGTCCCCCCTCAGGTGTCAGACTTGGTGATCATCCTGAATTACCGGAGGGCCGTCGAAGCCTTCACAAAGGGTGGGAACTTGACGCTTGGCGGGAACGCCACTGTCGCCGTGGGACCTGTTGGAAGGTGAGTCTACTCCCCACCTCTCCTAACACAATCTGTCTGTCTGTCTTTTAATTGCCTTGAATGCTTTCTGTTTATGTAAATTACAGCTTAGGTTTGATTGTCCTATTCTGCTTAGAGATTTATGAGACATTTAATGACAGTTTGTGTTTTGAGGCCTGAAGCAGATAGCCAAACTGTCTGAGGTGGGGGAAAAAATCACCCGTGATTTACTTTAGAGGCCAATTAAGATGTTGAGGTTAATTTTAGAATAAGGTGGTTTCAGGGTGGGTTAACCGGTTTTGGTGCTCATGTATTGGCAGGTGTTTGTGGGCGTGGCGAGTTACATGTCAGTCGGTTCATTCTCAATAAATGTTACAGACAGACAACAAATGGTAGCCAGAGCTGAATTAGTTTGAAGAAGATGGTCAGTTGTTACAGTTAGTTTATGTGTGAGTGTATATGGTACTATGAAATTAGTCACATACACAGTGATTGAATAACCCGCAACCAGCTATAGTTTTACAGACACAGCAGGAAATAAACCTAAAGAAGACTGCAGGTCCTTGGAGAAACCAAGGACTGTGATTTTTATATATATATATAATATAAATTAATTCCCCTATACTATGCTGGGGTTTTGTAGCCAGAAGTGGCCATCTTTGGATGAGAGATTGAAAAGCTAAGGTATCAACTAGCACCAGCTAACTGTACTAGTAAGCTACATTACAGAGGTACAAACTGCTAAATAGTCATAACAGCCAATGAAGCGCTATAGCTTCACTCACAAAAGCTGGAACACAGATTTATTGGTCATTGAAGTTTTGCAGTTTTTTTTTATTTTGCTATTTGATTGTGTTTTTTTTGTTTGGTTTTTTTGGGGGGTTTTTTTGGGGGGGGGGTAGTTATGAACCAACTTGCAGCTTGGTTTGTTTGGTTTTTGTTTTTATTTATTTCTTGTTTGGTTTTTTTTGTTTTTTTTCATCCAGTAAAACAAATCTGTGCTTGGAAAAACATTTATTTATTTATTTTTGTGCAGAAAAAATGTTTTTAAAATTAAAAAGAGCATAGGACCCAGGATCATGTTCTGTGAAACATATCACTAGTGCTAATTAACCGGTCATTAGGTGTTAATGTTTTCAAATTCTGAAATTTTACTTGACCATTTAAACTTCACCTTTGCCAGTTTGATCAATAGAATAAATTCTGCTTGTTAGGAACGTGGAGGCTGATGTGGCTCTGCGGAGTACTGCAGCTGTGTACACCTACTGCAGGTCCAGAGGTTTGTTTGCAGGTATTTCTCTGGAGGGATCCTGCCTCATTGAACGCAAAGAAACCAACCGCAAGTATGGGGGAAAAACACGAATCAATCTGCTGCATGTCAGAAGTTTAACTAGTTCTCTCTTTTCCAAACAAGTGCTTGTCTTTAATCCAGTAGTGTTGTTGCAGATTCTACTCCCAAGACATCCGCGCATCTGCCATTTTGAATGGTGATGTGGAACCGCCGTCAGAGTGCTATGACCTCTACCACATCCTAGATGTCTACACTGAGGCCTACACCACCGACTGGACAAGCAAGAACTTGCAAACTAGGGTACGCAAACCAAAAGCTTAACTCAAAAAGGAAAGGCAGCTATGTGTGAAGTGAGGATGGTTTCAAATGATGCCCTAAATAGTTTCCAGTGTGCTCACTAAAGGGTAGGTGAGTGCAGGCAGCTCAGTTCAGCACACAGATTTTTCTAATACAAAGCCATGCTGTTGGAATAGAGGCAGTATGAAGTTTAGCATCCATCTAAAATACCCTGACAATTACTGTGCTTTATTTTTTACATAGTGGTTCAATAGTGTAGTGGTTTATGCATTTGCCTAACAAACAAACAATGGAGACACAAATTAAGTGTAGCTCAGTGACCGTTATACTGAATGTCATGTGATTTTTTTTTTTTTTTTGATTGATTGATTGATTTATTTATTTTTTGCCTTTATCTAATATGCAGTACATAAAGTGTACATTTGTGTTTGTCTCCAGTCATCCGTTCGCCCAGCCAGACCACCAGCTCCGATCCAGTCAAAGCCACCAAGCTACTCCGAGGTGTCAGCAGCCAGTGCCGGTAAAGCTCAGAAATACAACTGTTCAGGTGCTATTAATTTATGGACAAAATTGTCTGTAATGGGGTGTGTGTCTGTGTGTTTTTGCATCCATGTGTCTGAGTACAGGAGCTGGAGTAAGGACTAAAAACACTCTCTACCCAAGTGTCTCTGTCTATAAATCTGAAACCTCAAGTGAGTTTTACATTAACTTTCATTACTTACTCCTTACCAGCTATTCTTTTTTTTTTTTTTTTCTTTCATTGTCATTTTGTGAGGACCGCTGTGACTTCTTGAGCTCACTTTCAAACTCAGAGGCCTCTGACTTGGTTTTGTTGCCCATGTTAGTAACTGGTTTTGGGTCTGGAGAATTCAAATCAACCAATTAGTACAAACATATTTTTCTTTTCTTTGGGTTTTTGCTTGCATCTTATTATAGTCAGAATTTGTCATTTTTCTTTTTCTTTTTTTTTAATCCTTTTTGTTGTCATTTTGTTTTAAACCATTTTGCGTCCCATTTCAGGCAGATTTCCATGCCTTTTGTGGCCGTATTGTGTTTCTGTGGTCAGTTTGTGTCCCTTCATAATTGTTTAGCACGGCATTGTGGTTGTAATGGACGGCTTAACAACATCCTGGGGGTTTTTTTGCTCGAGAAATGGTTAAACTGATGCAAAACAAAAAGAACAAAAGTTGTTCGTGCTCATTTTGTATCCCTTTTCTTTCAGTTTGTCAACTCTCCATGTGGTTGTTTAGCATCGTTTTCAGTCATTTTGTCTCCCATTTGTATTTACCTTGTTTTGTATCTTCATGTGGTCACATGGCACACCGTGTATTCAAGTCTGTTATTAACCCACGACCTTGATGCAGCCAGTACCAAAACCCATTAATAATCCTAGTGTTTTGTGTATGTACGTATGTGCGTGTGCATACTTCGGCGACACACACCTGTTCAAACAGCTACGTTGCGGGGACCTGACCCCTTTGTGTTGATAAAAGAGTCCTCCAAGGTAAATGATTAATTTTATGGTGAAGACGTGGTTTAAGGTCAGTGAGTCTTCAGCAAATTAATGTAAGTCAGTATGGTTGCTTGTGCAGTGATAAACACAATATATTGTTATCAACTTTGGGGCTGCAGCTCTCTCTAGTGTTCACAGCACATATCTGCAACTTAAACTGCAGCGCTGTTTATTTTAAATAAGCTCTTTATTTAAACACTAATGAATAAATTTTAATGGAGGAAGATGGAAAAAGAGCATTAGTCTTTCATATTTCTTGTTTGAGAACTTATTTTTATTAATGTTTTCACAGCTGTAGATTAATTTTCTCCAGATTCATTAGCCGTGACTCAAATTGATGTTTTGTTTCTCTTTCAGGTAAGTTTGCCTCCAGAAACTCTCAGATGAACGGTATGAATACTTGACACATCTCACACAAAAAATTAGTCTAGTTAACAAGAAAGTTGAGGTGCTGTGCAAAATTTAAATAAAAGTCAAATGAAATGATCTGCAAATTTCATAAACCCATATTTTATTCACAATAAAGCATAAAAAACACATCAAATGTTTAAACTGAAAAAAAAACATGAGCACATTTTATATTTGATGGCAGCACCTCTTCATTTAACAGTAGTCCATAAAACTAGGAATTGTGGCAATGTATTGCCTGGTAGAAGATTCTAGCTGCTCAGTAGTGCTGAGTCTTTTTTTCCCCCAAGGTTTAGTATTGTCTAGATAAAATGTGTAAAAATATATGTTGCTTTAAAACTTTTAGATACCTTCAGCACTGATGGTGCCTTTCCATATGTGCAAGTTGCCGGTTCCAAAGGCACTCATGTACCCCCATACCTCTTGGACTAAATAGTGATAAGGAGCCTGTTTATCAAAGTTCTCTTAAGTTCCCAGGTTGTAGTGCCCATACACTAGAATTTCAAATTTGGATTCGTCTGACCACAAAACAGTTTTCTACTCTGCCTTGATCCCCTTCAATTTAACTTTGGTCTAGACAAGACATGGATTATGTTCAGATTTGTGGATGGCACAGTGAGTGTTCCTTAGTCCTTGCAGTGATTTCCATGACAGCACTGCCACCTGAGGGCCTGAAGATCATAGGCATCCAATATTGATTTTCAGCCTTGTCCCTTAATTTTTTCCCAGATTCTCTTAAGCTTTTGATGGTTTTATGTAATTTACAGAATGAGATTTTCTCATGATCTAATTAGATGAAAAATGTGCCTCCAGCTGTTTCTTTTTAGTAACCCTTACTATTTCAGCTTTTGTTTCGTAACTAATTCAAAAGTAGCTTTTTTTTCATGAAATAGTAAAATGTCTCAGTTTCAACATCTGTTTTCTATGTGTTATTGTAAATAAATATTAATATTCTGAATTGTACAACATAAATATATCAGACCTATGTTAAACAGTGAATTTGCAGTAAATTAAATCTGCTTTTGTCAAATGCTTGTTTTGTTTCTGTTTTACTTTCTTTGTTTTTGTTAATTGTAGATTGGGGATCATCAGAGGGTGGAGCCACTGGGCTGATGGTTGTCACAGCAACACATCCCTTTGCAGGGGAGCAGCCAGGTGACCTCAGCTTTGTTCCAGGCGACCGTATCACTGTCATCACGAAGACAGACTCCCAGTATGATTGGTGGGAGGGGCAACTGGAAGATGGTCGGGTTGGGATCTTTCCTGCAAACTTTGTTACATATTGATACTACTCTCTGGGTGTCTGACAGAAAAACATCTGAAAGAACCAATATTGGGTAAAATGAGTTTGGAACGTGGTTGTTCTGTTAGGCGTAAACACTCCACTGCATGAATATACTTGTAAATGAATTAATAATCCTTCGGTTTTTCACATAGTAAATGTAATATTGGAAATTTTGAAACATTTGTCAGACAAAATACATTTTGACATATTTCACAAAAATATTTTAACTGGCATTTTTAACCATTTCAAATGTTTCACATTTAATATTGAAGTACCACTGTTTGTTTGTTTCTTGGTACAAATTTGAATCACAAAAAGACAACCACTTGGATTAAATGAAATCAACTATTCCATTATTATTGTGATTATTAGTTTCATCATCATAATTATTATTATTTACATTTAGTTTGAAATTGATTGGGAACTTTAGGCTGGTTGCCTAAAGGCTGGGTGCCAACAGAAGCGTTTGTTTGTTTTTCTTTTAGTTTAGTTTCTTTTATAGTTTAAAGTCTTGATATTTTAAGATCAGTGGCACCACCAAAACTGCTGTAAAGTCTAAAAATTGAACAAAAAGTTGAAATTTAACTGTCAGCTGCTGTGATCAGGGAACTTTAAGGGGCTGTAAATTTCAACACCAACTGTTAGGCACTTTCTTTAGCTCTTTAAGTCAATGTGTTACAATTATCGTGGAGATGGTTATACTGACTTTGCTGCACCCTTGTTCTTTTTTTTTTTTTTTGCATGTAAATATGGTTATGCATGATGTTGTAATAATGTTAAATGGAGCGGGTTACAAGGTGGATGAAGGAATTTTTAAGGAGTTTAATATATGCATATCAGTTTAAATATTGTTTTTCTTCACTTTGCACTTTTTTAAAATGACATTTAAAGTATGAGTTTAGGGATCTGCTAATGTTTTAATCTTAACAATGTCTTCAGATTAATAATTGTGGTGTGGGTGAGTATTCTTTTTGGGGGGGGCTTTTTCATAGCTGCAGTACAATGTACTGTTTGGATCCTATGCAAATGTTAATAAACCTTATGTGTTCTAAAATATGCGCTTGTTTTTATGCAGAGAGAACAACAGAATTTTTTTTTAAAAAAGCTAACTGGGCTGACATTTGAATATTTCCTGCTTAATCTCACAGAAAAACATTACATTACTGAAATCCCTCACATCATCACAAATAGTCACATTTATTTAAAGTCGTTGTCAATGACATCAAAGTAAAAACAATATTTTTTTTTTTTTATCACAAACTTGTTTACAGTAATACAATAATTTTTACTATTATGATTTTGTTACTGTGTATAATAATACATAGTGTCATAGTGTCTGCTCCTGTTATGGTCAATTATATTATATTTGCACAAATTTATTTTAAAAAAACACATTTAAAGATTAACACCCACAACAAAGGCACAATACTGTAACATACCTGCAGTTGTTAAAAACATTTAATTACATCTGAAATCAACATTTTTGTTGTTTTTGTCTGTTTTTAGTTTTAAATCTAAGAGAAACTGATACTAGAAATGATGAAGATACTCTAAACCTACTTGTTACCCTTGTGGCTCCTTTAACATGAAACAGCTTTTTTATTTTTTATTTTAAACTTTATTGGCAGCTTCACATTTCAGCTGTTTATTGTTTCCACTTCATAACACCCTGCTTCTGTCTCTCTTTGTTTCTTTGAGAAAACTCCAAGCAAACCAAAATGTGTTCCTACAAAGCATGTGACATTCACATGTCTGGGACAGGACCAACAAATGAAACATGGGAAAATAGTGGCATCTCCTGGAATAGTGGATAACATAGAGAATGTACTTGTAACAACAACTAGTTACTACAGTTTGTGTACTCAGCACATCTATGGTACTCAATGGGCCAATGGGATGCAGCAGAATCCATTAGTGGAAGCTCAAACCTGCATTGTACACTTGGTAGTGTGGAACTAAGTATTGTCTTTTTGTGTACACAAGCATATATTTGTGGTCTTTGGCCATAAATATATTGTAAGTATCAAACTCAAAATCAGACAACATGTAAAACTGGGATAGTGGCAAAAAAAAGACTGGAAACGCTACATAAAGCTAACAAAAAGAGAACAAGGAAACCACTAAATATGACCATTTTTCAAATATGTCCTTTTTTCCCCTTAATTGAGTACAAAAACAGGATAAGAATGAAATAAAGAGATGGATGAGTTTTTCTGGATGTTGTCATTTACAGTTTGTAACATTGTTAAAAGAGTCAGAGAAATCCCTGTAAAAACCAAATCTAAACGATTCTCATTAAATTGAGATTATGATTATGCACAGCACTGGCTCAAGCATACTTATTTCAAAACTCTAACTTAAAATGTCTTTTTACACTCATAAAACAATGAATGAACCCAAAACTGCTGATTAACGAACATAAAAGGAAATCAGCATTTGGTTCAATTTATTTTCACAATAATAAAAACGCAAAGTGGTAACAAATAGGAAAAAAAACAGCATAAGAATAAAACACACTTCCTTTCAAGTCTTGGAAATCCTCCAACATCCTCTAAGAGGGAATAATTTCAACCTGCCGGCTGGTATTTTCAAGGTATAAAGTTTCTCTAACATGAACTCATGTTTGTTTTTGGTCTAATTAATATCAAAGCAGTAACTGAAAGCTGCCGGCTGCATTCATATCAGCAGTGCTGAAATTGTGCTGTCTTTCTCCACAGGGAACGTTTCCACTTTGCTGGTTTGGCTGCTCACCAGTGTCCTGAAAAATCACACAGCAGGAGATGCTGTGAACGAGCCAGGCAACTCACATGTGATGTCATATATTTTATTTCTTTATATTTCTTTGTATTTTACAAATGTAGCTGTTTTTCTGAAAAACAAATGTACATCTATGGGTTTTACAGCCATTATTACTGGTTTTTGTAAACTACTTAAAAAAATAAAAAGTTATTGCCACCAAAACGACCAAAACTCACTCTGTCCTCCAGAGCGCATCCATGGCAGGTTGGTGGGGCTGTAGCTGCCTGTTGCAGTCCGCCACAGAGTCAGGAAGTGGGACACCACTGGTTTCCGGCAGCAGCAGGCACAGTCCACAGCATATGATTGGTCCACTGCTGTAGATAACCATAGCAGCCAAGGAGATTGCTCCGTCAGGGTTTGCGGGGACGAGGGTGTTGACCAGGCAACCGAGCCGGAAAGACAGGTTGACCAGTGATAAACAGCGTTGCCTGGATTTAAAAACCAAAAAATATATACTCTTATTGAACAATGGCTAGAGAAGATTTCTGCTATGCTGTTTAATTGCCCCGACATCTCAACATGTAATCTCAGATGAAAAGTAGCTCAAAAACCAATAGGACCAATTAAATTTGCAAGACTTCAATATCAGCTAGAAGATCATACATAAACAAATCGTTCAACTAAGTATTGGAAGTAAGAAGCAGATGCTGTGGAAATATATGCTTAATGAGAATAAACCAACCTTACAACTTTTGCTTTCAAGTTAAATCATACCTCTATAGGCTAACTAATGTGTACAACTGGACGGGGTTTATGGTGCCCTTGGTTCACCATGCAACAAAAGAGAAGTTTCATACAGAAGATACATGTTGTTAAACTGATGTTTAGTTTCCAGAAACTGCTCGTCTGTGTACGTGAAAAAGATGATGGGTAGATTTCAGTTCACAACTATTTAGTAACCAAATTGCCAAAAAACAGAAAACTATAATCTGACTGATATTTTCACTTTGGTAAGGACAACATCTGCCGTGGCTCATAACACAAACACTTTGTAACAGCAGAACCGGTTACCATCCTTGATCCATCCTTGGTCCATCCTTGGTCCAGGGGTCCAGTCCAGAGACTGCTTAGCTTAAGTGAAGTTTAGTAGACGGCTAGCAGTTACAGCTGTCTGTGTCTTTACCTACTTGTCAGTCAAAGAGGCCACGCCCCTATTTTTAAAAAACAGCTAATTTTTAATACAAGCGTTATAAGACATGTACCTCCACCCCCATAAGGCTGTTAGAAAGAGGTAAATTAAACAGGTTATAAACATGTTTATTTTGCAGTAAATCTGGACATTTTAAGTTTGAAGCCAGGCTCAAGTGAACATTAGAGGAATGTCTGCTTGTGGAAAACCTGCATTAAAGAGTGTTGTGTTGTTTTCTACCTGACCACAGTGGGGAACAGTTCAATGCTGTACAGAGTGGAGATAAAGATGGCAGCCAGGACGCAGAGTTTCCCCAACAGAGCCAGACTCATAACCAGCATCGGCGTACCTGCACCAGAGTATCAGAGTACCAGTCTCAGAGATGGTGGTCAGATTTGATTGGAGGCTGCAAACTGCATATAGAATGATTCCACCTACTCCCACTAATGTTATGTTTTTTCTACCAATATTAAATACCAGTATTTTCTCCCACTAAAAATATTGATACAGATTAAATAAATCGACTGCCATGGGACAAAGAGCAACTGTCATCAAGAGCTTTTAACACAGTCTCCTATTGTGGCGTTCAAGAATAGAATCCTAAGAACAGATGGTTTTCTAATGTTTTTATTTAATGTTGTGTTCATTTTAGTTTAATTTAATTTAATATTTAATGTCTCTTAAAAGTGATTATGAACTAACCTAAAATACTGAAAATGCGTATAAGGACTCACCATTGTACCTGGACAGGAGTAACGACACGAAGCAGGCAGCTCCACTGAGGAACAGAGCGAGCATGCTCATTGGCCGGCGTCCCAGACGAACCAATGGGACAAGCAAGCAGGGAGCTTCTGATAGCCCGGAAAAGAACTGGGCGGAGTAAACGCCAACACCGAATGAGCCGATGTTCAAACAAATTCCATAGTATGTCAAAGCTGATGCCGCACTGGAGGATGACAGGACATTTATTTATGTATTTATTCATTTATTTTATTATGTTTTTAATTTACCAATATTTTGTTTTGTGAATTTTAATTTTTGCATTTTTATTATTATTTATTTTCCTTTTATTTTATTTTCCTTTATTTTGTTTGATGGATTTGCATTTATTTTATTTATTTCACCTTATTTATTTATTTTATTGTATTTATTTTACCAGTATTTTGTTTTGTGAATTTTCTTCTTTTTTTATTTCACTTTCAACTTATTAATTAATTAATTAATTTATTTATCTATCAAGGTTTCCTCTGGACTTGTAAGTGAACACTTTAAACAATGATGAATTTTAAAACAAAACTGTGACAACGTTTCTGATTAAGGTTTGTTTGACATAAACCTGTAAAAGTTTAACTCAGCATATTGAAGGGTTTTTTTGTTGCTCAAACTTAACCACAGTTTGGTTGTACTGCACACAGAGTATTACACTTCCTCCATTTTGTTTCACAGTTTTCCGTATAAATAGAAATTAGTAAATACAAATTTACCCTCAGCAGCCTTTTATCCATCAAACACTCACTCAAGTGTAGGACTTTTAATGATATCAGCTTAAGGTTCCTGTGTGCCTGGTGTTATAACTCACACAAACCAAAGCTCCCTGATGACGAAATGCTGTTACTTCACACCGGTTGTTTATGTATTATATAACCCTGTTACCTTTGGCCACAAACAAGAGGAGGCTCAGACTTATTGAGAACAGTCTATTCTCGTTCCTTAAACTCCCTTATTCCAGTTTTACAAATTATTCTGCATGCAATACTAAAAGATTCATCTATCTATCTATCTATCTATCTATCTATCTATCTATACTAATCTACTACTATCTATACTATCCTAAATATTATTATCATATACAATCTATCATATCTTTCTAATCACAAAACTAACAATAATAGTACAGTGGAACAGACGACTTAAACGAAGAATAGTAACTATATTCTTCAGATGTGAAGATTTAAACAGTAACTGTAACGGAATACAGTTACTCATATTTTGTATTTTAAATACGTAATGCCGGTACAATACAGTGGGGCAAAAAAGTATTTAGTCAGCCACCGATTGTGCAAGTTCCCCCACTTAAAATGATGACAGAGGTCAGTAATTTGCACCAGAGGTACACTTCAACTGTGAGAGACAGAATGTGAAAAAAAAATCCATGAATTCACATGGTAGGATTTGTAAAGAATTTATTCGTAAATTAGGGTGGAAAATAAGTATTTGGTCACCTCAAACAAGGAAAATCTCTGGCTCTCACAGACCTGTAACGTCTTCTGTAAGAAGCTTTTCTGTCCCCCACTCGTTACCTGTATGAATGGCACCTGTTTGAACTCATCATCTGTATAAAAGACACCTGTCCACAGCCTCAAACAGTCAGACTCCAAACTCCGCCATGGCCAAGACCAAAGAGCTTTCGAAGGACACCAGGAAAAGTATTGTAGACCTGCACCAGACTGGGAAGAGTGAATCTACAATAGGCAAGCAGCTTGGTGTGAAAAAATCAACTGTGGGAGCAATCATCAGAAAATGGAAGACATACAAGACCACTGATAATCTCCCTCGATCTGGGGCTCCACGCAAGATCTCATCCCGTGGGGTCAAAATGATCATGAGAACGGTGAGCAAAGATCCCAGAACCACACGGGGGGACCTGGTGAATGACCTGCAGAGAGCTGGGACCAAAGTAACAAAGGTCACCATCAGTAACACACTACAACGGCAGGGAATCAAATCCCGCAGTGCCAGACGTGTTCCGCTGCTGAAGCCAGTGCATGTCCAGGCCCGTCTGAAGTTTGCCAGAGAGCACATGGATGATACAGCAGAGGATTGGGAGAATGTCATGTGGTCAGATGAAACCAAAGTAGAACTTTTTGGTATAAACTCAACTCGTCGTGTTTGGAGGAAGAAGAATACTGAGTTGCATCCCAAGAACACCATACCTACTGTGAAGCATGGGGGTGGAAACATCATGCTATGGGGCTGTTTTTCTGCCAAGGGGACAGGACGACTGATCCGTGTTAAGGACAGAATGAATGGGGCCATGTATCGTGAGATTTTGAGCCAAAACCTCCTTCCATCAGTGAGAACTTTGAAGATGAAACGAGGCTGGGTCTTCCAACATGACAATGATCCAAAACACACCGCCCGGGCAACAAAGGAGTGGCTCCGTAAGAAGCATTTGAAAGTCCTGGAGTGGCCTAGCCAGTCTCCAGACCTCAACCCCATAGAAAATCTGTGGCGGGAGTTGAAAGTCCGTGTTGCTCGGCGACAGCCCCAAAACATCACTGCTCTCGAGAAGATCTGCATGGAGGAATGGGCCAAAATACCAGCTACTGTGTGTGCAAACCTGGTAAAGACCTATAGTAAACGTTTGACCTCTGTTATTGCCAACAAAGGTTATGTTACAAAGTATTGAGTTGTATTTTTGTTATTGACCAAATACTTATTTTCCACCCTAATTTACGAATAAATTCTTTACAAATCCTACCATGTGGATTCATGGATTTTTTTTCACATTCTGTCTCTCACAGTTGAAGTGTACCTCTGGTGCAAATTACTGACCTCTGTCATCATTTTAGGTGGGGGAACTTGCACAATCGGTGGCTGACTAAATACTTTTTTGCCCCACTGTATGATACATGTGCAATGATATTTTTTTTAACATTTTTTTAAACTCGCTCATATTTATGCCTTATGCCGGCCCCATTATGAATGAACGATAGGCTAATTGCAAGACAAAAAGCACACGAATAGCGCACTGGCAACAACAATAATCTTTCACGTGGAACAGCGAAACGCATTTCGCAAACGGATTTCGTTACACGGGCATTTTGTCGTACCACGTTAATATGGTTAATTGCCTTCCTATTATACAACTATATTACAAATAGTTAATAATTTTATCTCATATATTTAATATGAGATATAATTATCCAAATATTGTGACTTTAAATTAATAATTTGATGTGAAAATATTCATATGTTTATTTATCTTTGTTATAAAGGGCTGTGTCCCATATGGAGCGTGTGCAGTAGGTACCTCACACAGCTCATGACAAACAATCGCATCAGGACAGTTGGGTGCTTCAAGTGGATTATGTCACTGGAGGCATGATCTCCAGTCACAGGGTCTTCTCTCTGAGCTTCGGTGGCTTTCTGCAAGTCTGACCAGGCGGTGTCCAACAGCTGCACACAAACACAGCTGGATTATTTTATATATGTTTATTCATATCATATATTGAATGATAATATATATAATATGATATATATATTATATATATAATATATATATATAATAATATATATATTATTAGTAATATATATATATATATAATAATAATATATATATAATTACCCCTCCAACCACGGGTTATACAATTATAAATATAATATATATAATAATATATATAATATATATATATATCTAAGATATAAGATTAATATTAATAATTATATAATAACTATATATAAATATATATATTGAATTAATATATAATATTAAGTATTATAAATAAAATATTAATAAATAATATATAAAAAATAATATATTATATTTAATATGAATTAGAATATATAGATATATATATCCCACCTGATCCAGACTGAATTTTAAGTTACTGTACAAAAATCACTGATTCGGTGGCTATCAGCTTGGAAGCACTCACAAATGATCCAGCTGTTGATTCAAAACTGTTTGTTTGTTTTTTGACATAATGTTTGAAAAAAAAAACTCCCATGAGAACAATCGATTTGTTAGTCTGTGTTTCTGATGCCAACACATTCAAAAATGCTGATACAGGGAATGTTTTTCACCACACTGAATCCCCTGTTATGTAATAGCTGTGCCGAAAAGCAGCTGCAATTTTTTCCCCCCTGCATGAGTTTGGAGCCTGTTGTTTTTTGTAGTTTTCAGTAGAAAAATTCTTCAAATGTTTTCAGGGTTCAGCTAGTTTAACATCTGGACTCTTCGCTGCTGGAGTACGAGTACGACGTGGTTTTGTCTTCCTGAAGAAAGCAAGGCCTTCGCTCAAATAGGCATGTCTGAATGACAGCATGTTCAGGCTGTCATTCAGACAGCTGTCATGTGATACTAACACCCCCACCCACCCACTCACTCCCCTATCATCAGTGATTTAAACTGTGTGCTGATAATAAGCAGTATGGTCCCAAAAGATCATAATTTCCAAAGAGAATCTCAGATTCTGGTCAGACCAGAGGGTGGTTGTCAGGTCAGCCTCAATCCATCAAACAATGGTTGTAAGCAGTGTTCCTGCACATTAGTGCTACAAGACATCATAGACACCAAAGCTCTACAGCCTTTTTACAGACCACAGATGACAGAATTCATAAACAGTGGTCGACCCCTCTCCAGTTTACCTCTGATAGAGTTAGTTTCTTTGAGATGTTCTTTTAAGAGCATCGTAAAGAGTGACAGCAGAAGTTTTAATGCACCTTTCTCATTACATAACCTTTCCATCTATTGTTGACCATTTTCCAACTTATTTTAGAAGACCATCTGTTTCTTTATATCTTGCAGTTAAACATTATCAAACTAACACAAAGAGGAGCTGGGTTATAATAAGGAATAATCCTACTTGTTAACACAAGACATTTATGATTTGAAATGAGGCAAATGTTTGTTTACCAGGTCCAAGCGCTGGTTATCTGCAGGGCTGTTGCTCCGGTAACGGTCCAGGATATCTGTCCTCTTCTTTAACAACAGCCATCGGGGAGACTCTGGGATTGAACTTGAAGGAGAAAAACTGTTATTGCTTCCTTTATTAACGGTCTAAATGAGGCTACCACAGGTGAACAGGTGTGTTGGCCTACAGGTAGAGTGGCAGACAAATGATCTGAGGCAGAGCCAGTGACAGGTGCAGACGTGTCCAGGTAGGGTTGAGCCAGGCCAAAGGAGCTCCACCCATTGTCCCCAGGCTGAAGCAGAATGGCAGGAAAGCTGGCGGCCACAGCCGAGAATCAGGGGCAGTCCACTCCACTGCTGCAACACAAACAGTTTAAAACAGTCTACAATTTAAATTCTGCAGGTTTCAGTGCTATCTTCAATGTGAACTTGCTCTCCAAAGCTTCTAAGATTTATTAGAGTAGCTTTACCTGATTTATTATTTAAAAACTACCCTTCTTTATGTTATACTGAACCTTGCTGAAGCCCAACTGTTTTAGCTCCAGTCCCTAAATGCCCACTTCCTTCTGATTGGCCAACTTAAATATACATACATTTATCTCATAATTTCAAACTCATCTTTAGCACACAGCACTGTCAGATAACATGCATAAGGAAAAAGATAATAAATCTATAATAAAAAGTCTCCATAGAGTCATCTTTAAACATAATGACTTACCTTAGTTAGCTAAGGTAATTAGAGTTAGATAAAATTAACTGATAATAATAATAAACAATGAATAATAAACCAAATCTCTGTCTGTGTGTATTTGTTTCTTTGACCCACAACACCACTTACAAAATGTGATCATTTCAAAAAAAAAAAGGTGTTAAAGGTACCCCTCCAAAAGTTGATTCTGTTCATCTGGACGTAGCATTTTGTGGGAGAAACGTTTCGTCACTCATCCAAGTGACTTCTTCAGTCTCAGCTGACTGCAGGTTTCCCCAAACTTATAAACAGTACATTTGCATAATGACTGAAACCAGCCCACTGAAGGAACAATGGGCTGGGAGGTCAGAACTGACAATAAATGCTGAAGCAATGGATAGAAAATAATACAATAAATACAATAAATATTGAATTAGCTAAATTATAAGACCCTGAGTCTTCCTACACTTTGGGTCCATGACTTACTATGTAAAGGCTAGCTGCTAAATTAAATCAAAGCTGAAGGAATAGACTGCTTCCTCCAGTCTGCACATAACACTGTAGGGGTCAAAGGTTAGGAAGCTGCTGGAAGCAATCCTGCTTCATTAGGCCTCAACCTGGTCAAGATGGCTTTATCTGGAACACGTGCTTTTTATCAGCCTTATGTAAGTATGTCCCACCACGGTCCAATTAAAGTCACCATCCAGCCAGTGACCCAAAGCCCACTGAGGGCTGTCTGATAACGAACCACCTTCCAGCTCGCACAAAACACTGCAGGCTCCCCAACATACTTTGTGAGACACTTCTAAAAACATTTTGAAGTTGGATACTCATACATTTAACTGACTTTCTTTAATTAACTTATTAATGGTCAGAAAATGTCCAATGAAGACCACAGCTCAATATAACGGGATGAAAGTAGATCTGTGATACGACATTTTAATCATGCTTTTAGGTTTCTTGTATTACCTAAACTGAAGGCGCAGATGTTGATGCAGCAGCAGCAGATTCCAGTCAGGCAGCGAAGAATAAGGAAGAGGAGTGGTTGAGGAAAGACAGCAGGAACGAGGCCACACACGGCGTGCACGCACATGGAAATCAGCAGTACTGGACGCTTTCCGTACCTGCACAGAAACCATCAGCGAGATTTTTCTTGTTTGAAGATGAGTGATGACTAATGTTTATTTTAACTTAAACTTGACATATACACTACAAGTCAAAAGTTTGGACACACCTTCTAATTTTTTATGTTTTTTCTTTATTTTCATGACTATTTACATTGTAGATTATCACTGAAGGCGTCAAACTATGAATAAACACGTATGGAATTATGTAGTGAACAAAGACGTGTGAAATAACTCAAAACTTGTTTTATAGTTTAGATTCTTCAAAATAGCCAACCTTTGCTTTGATTACCGCTTTGCACACTCTTGGCATTCTCTTGATGAACTTCATGAGTTAGTCACCTGAAATGGTTTTCCAACAGTCTTGAAGGAGTTCCCAGAGATGCTGAGCATTTTTTGGCCCTTTTGCCTTCATTCTGCGGTCCACCTCATCCCATACCATCTCGATTGGGTTTAGATCAAGTGACTGTGGAGGCCATGCCAACTGGTGTAGCACTCCATCACTCTCTTCTTGGTCAAATAGCCCTTACACAGGTGCTGTTAACTTGTGATTTCTGAGGCTGGTGACTTGGATGAATTTAACCTCAGCAGCTTTCTTGGGGCGGTCCTCATGTAAGCCAGTTTCATTATAGCGCTTGATGGCTTTTGCAAAGCACATTTAAAGTTTTAGCTAATTTTTGGACCCACTGACCTTTAGTAAGTGATGATAGACTGTTGTTTCACTTTACTTAGCTGATTGGTTCTTACCATAATATGAATGCTAACAGTTGTCAAATTAGGCTGCCAGTTGTGTACCAACCTGACTTCTACACAACACAACTGATGGTACCAACCTCATTAAGAAGGCAATAAATTCCACAAATGAACCCTGACAAGGCACACCTGTGAAGTGTGACTACATCATGAAGCTTATTGACAGAAAGCCAAGGGTTTGCAGCGCTGTCAATAAAGCAAAGGGTAGCTACTTTGAGGAATCTAAAATATAAGGTCCAAACTTTTGACCAGTAGTGTATTACAGACTGTCAAGTGTTGTGTTGTACCGGTCAGATATGGCTCCTCCAAACAGAGATCCCAGCAGCAGACCAGTCATGAAGAGCATCTGACCATAAGACAACCAGTCTGTCCAACCACACACTGACTGACACACACACACACACACCCACCCACACACACCCACACACACAC